GTTGACAATTTATCTTGGTATTCTTCAAGTCAAATGGAGGAAACCAATGACTTGGAGATGGGTACCATTGAATTTCACTGACGTCCTTTCACATCTGGCATTGTTCTTCATAATGGGTCTCCTTGCTCTGTATGTTTTGTATTCATTTGCATGAGTTGCGAAACTTTACCGACCTACAGCCGATGGTTTCTAGGTTTAGCGGGGTAGGCTTGAGCAGTTAACCATGGGTGCCATTCTACAAACGGTCAATTTTAGATTTTTTTCTTAAATTCTCATGATTCCTCGCGCAACTTGAAAACCTTAAAAGACATTTCAGTCATGTATTTCATTTTCAGTTTTCACTTAAAGTTAAAGACCACATATATTGCAGAAATTCACATTTGATATGTATCCCGATTTATTTAAAATAGGGGAGTGCATCCATAAATTGCACTGGTCACAGTATTGTGCGTGTTTACCTCCGAACTCCAGCAAATCGTGAAGTGGGCGGGGCTAATTTGCATAGTGTAAATATTCATGCCGTTGGTTTTCCCAAATGCCATGCCTGTGAGACATGTTTCCCCGTGTTATTCCGAAGCGGTGGTACATTGTTCATAATAAGATCATGATTTTGTGTACAGACTTACATTCTGTGTTCGACTAGCAATCGCAAATGGTCCAACAGAGCATTATCATTGGCAAAATGAATTGAGAATTAATTTTTCACAGTCAAAATTGTGTAGGACCTTTTGACACTCTCCTCTCGCTCCAACGTAAGCAGTCACTTGTACGAGTCGTATCTCGGTACCTTTACCGAGTTGACTAATTTTTGAAAGGCTGCTCCTCAGATCAGCTATTTGTTGATCGTTTTGCCGCCTTTATGAAGAACTAAAATGAAATGTTTCGTGCTGATAATAGTTCGTAAGGAATAGCGATGAATTTTGTTGCGAAAATGGAGTTCGTTCAGAGGACGGAATTAGTCTGTTAGTCCGGTCGATCAAGGGGAACACAGTTTTTGGAGAGGGCCGGGACGAGTTTGAATAGTCTTAGGAATATCCGAATATTCCGCTTGCAACATATCAAGGATTCGACGATTGATTATCGGGCCTTCCGTACCCCATTGTTGTTGTTTTACAAACAAAATGATCATGGGTCTCCTAGCTCTTTGTGTTTGTTTTTATGTCGTCTACTTGCATGAGAACGAGAATGTACAATGTTGCGAAAGTTTACCGACCTACATACAGCCGATGGTTTCTAGGTTTAGTGTTTAGCGGGGTAGGCTTGAGCAGTTAATAATGGGTGCCATTCTACAAACGGTCAATTTTAGAATTTTTTCTCTTAAATTCTCATGATTCCTCGCGCAACTAAAACCTTAAAAGACATTTCAGTCATGTGTATTTTTTTTTCAGGGTTTTTTTTCACCGAAAGACCACACATATTGCAGAAATTGCCATTTGATATGTATCCGATTTATATAAAATAGGGGCGTGCATCCATAAATTGCACTGGCCACACTCCGAACGCCAGCAAATCATGAAGTGGGCGGGGCTAATTTGCACAGTGTAAATATTCATGCAGTTGGTTTTCCCAAATGCATGCCTGTGAGACATGTTTCTCCGTGTTATTCCGAAGCAGTGGTACATTGTTCATAATAAGATCATGATTTTGTGTACAGACTTGCATTCTGTCTTCAACAAGCAATCGCAAATGGTCAAAACAGAGCATTATCATTGGAAAAAGAAGTGATACGTGATTATCAACACAGTCAAAATTGTGTAGGACCGTTTGACACTCTCCTCTTGCTCCCGTAGAAGTGGTTATACGAGTTGTCTCACGGTACTTTTACCGAGTTGACTTATTTTTGAAAGGGCTGCTTGTTAGATGAGCAATTTGTTGATCGTTTTGCAGCCTCAATAATGAACAACAGAAATGAAAGGACTATTGCTGAAATTGTTCGTAAGGAATCGGGAGGAATTTAGTTGCGAAAATGGAGTTCGTTCATTTCAGAGGGCGGTATTACTATTAGTCCGATCTGGGGGGATGGGGTGTGGCGCACAGCTTTTGGAGAGGGCCGGTGCGAGTTTTAAGAGTCTTCGGAATCTCCGCGTGCAAAGAATAATAAGTCTATGATATCCGTGGGGATTCGGCGATTGATCACGATCGGGTCTTGGGTACCCCATTGTTGTTTTACAAACAAAATGGCAGCCGAATTTCTGCTGGAAACGACATCACAATGTCTGAAGTCGACTCCGATTGGCAGGTGGCAGTGGCGTATTTAGCTTTTGATGTCAGTGAAGGCAACGCACTCGCACATCTGCGCGGAAATGTAAAATCAGTCGTCCTGCAATTAGCAGAAAACGTCTAATCCTTTTTTTTTTATCATATATTTCCAACCACTGCATTTAGGGCATATCCCTAAATGCTAAACCGCGGCACATCGTTCACTTGTAATATTTTCATCATTTTGGAAATAGCTCACGATTATTTCTGAATACTGCTTCAGAAGATCGGAATGTAATGACCAATACAAGCTCGTTTGAAAATAGTCAAGTACGAACGACTGATAGTGATATGTAATAATGTGGGGCCCCATGGGAATACGGACGCAACAGGTTCGTGCATGGGTGTACAATGTACAGTACATGTACATGTACGTGTGTGTACACGCACTTTACACAAACACTGAAGCCTCACTACTGTTTTGCCATGCAGCAGGCGAACCGATCATTGGGCGGAGCTATATTTACAACATTTACATATTAACAATGGTACACGACATGTAGGAAATCCAAGATGGGACCATTTCTCGTCGTGGAGTTGCGATTTTTAAGTCCGTTTTGTCTCAACATTCGGCGGTTTCTAAAAATATTTTCGCCTTAGTGATCAAAATTATGTACAAGTCTAAAATGCTGGTAAAATAATCCTTAAATAAGAAACGAACGCGCAAATCGTCCTTTGAGCGGGCGTGGGAAACTGTAGCAAGCATGTTGGCGTGTTCATTTGTGTGGAGTGTATTGGTTTGGTGGATGGCAAGTCGTCACAGCTATCCTCATTCTGATTGAATAAAGAAGGTCGGTCTTTCTGTCTGACATCGACATTCGGCCTATACAAACATGACAAAGTGATTTAATGCATTGCACGGTATAGTACGGAATCAACCGCGTTTTGTGAGCCCATGAAGTGTAAGTTTGGACTCTACTACGTGTACACCATTGTCGTCGATTTGTAAGATATGAAATTTGCATATAATGGAATATTCATGAATAGGTTTAGTACGCTGTTATAGCGGTTTCAATTCAACTTTATGAAGTTTGCACCATATGATTCGCGTGTAACACTACATCTAGTGTCGTTTTCCTGTCATAAATGTCCATTGTGATCCTCTTAACTGATTAAGAAACCTGTAGGTATTTTCTTTTCTTCCATGACAGTTTGAGTTATTAAGAAGACACAGGAATAAGAATGTGGAACGAAACCGTTCAATAGTGGTTTTCTTACAATTTAAAGTGATTGCTCGATTAGAGCAAATGTTTATCTATTACATTGGTTCTGTAGCGATAAACTTAAATTTTTGGGTGGGCGCTTTGATGGAAACAAAATTGTTTCTTAAAAGGCCCCTTATGGTTAACGGAATGGTAGAAGAGCTAATGAAGCTATGATCTTCAAAGAACTTGCAAATGGATATGGTTGCACAAGTGTGAATATTCATGAGACAGAAACACTTGTTTGAAAATAATTGCTTCTAATTAATACGCTAGGTGTAGGATTGTAGTAATTCCTCAAAAATTACAATTTATTTCAGTTTGGTGGATGCCTTGAGTTGACATTAGTTGTTTCTTCAGTTCAGAGACATGCACAATCGACAATTAGTCCGGTGGCTAAAAGTTGCACCTAATTTTGGACAAGATTGTGACCGACTGGTCCAAAGCACCAAACTTGGCAGATAGATTCTTATAGCCCAAGGGAAGATGTTTAGAAGGGGTGACACCTGAAATTCTGTTGCAAGGGTGCCTAATTTGCATAAATTGTTAATAGCTACATGTAATATATTTATTCCCGTATATGTAGGTACATTTTTATTTTTTTTACTTTTTGAAAAGTATATTTTGTGGATTCTACTTACCGGTACATGTCCTTACTTTGATAACATTTCCAAAGCATATAAGTAACTGAACAATTATGAGGAAATAGTAACGATCCAAAATGGCTTCTATTATGCCCTGTATTTGCGATAGTATCTGCCTCGTCTCCAGATACCATCAATTAGTATTGCCAAACATCACTCGGCATTCATTTGATGAATTTCAAATTCACCGTTACTTATACCTGTATGCGCCTATCAATTGTTTCCCCCATCCCTCCCCTCCGGGGCTGCCCCACCCAAGATGTGGGGATTGTCACCTTTGAAGTGACAAAATCCCCACCCCTCGGGCAAAATTTAAGTGACAATCCCTGGCCATGCCCCGACATACATACGTGGGTCGCACTAGTGATTGCCTTGCATTTAGTACGCCAATGTTAACAATGTAATTTGAGTGACGAAAATCACCACACTGGGGCATGAAAAACTAACCAAATCCCGACATCGGACTTGGGGTAGCGCGGGGGGGGGGGGGGGGGGGGGGGGGACATTTGATAGGCGCGTTACCTTTTAAAATCTTATGCACAATGATGTGAGCAATGATAACATTGTAATATTTAGCCTAAGGCAGAAAAACAAACGGGGATAAAACGAGGTGTTCGTTAAATCGGGCTAACAAGTAGGTGAAGGGTTGTCTAACGTGGGAGACTGAAAAAAGTTCAAGGAAACTCCCAAAGTTATTGTTGAGAAAACGATTTGACGTAGACATAATTACTGTAAACAACAATAATCTCTTTATTAGGGGGATTTAGTTGAACTTTGTTTAAGTCCCCCATGTTACCCTTCGCCTAGTAGCCCAAACAGGACAGACAGGAAAGAGTAATGTTAATGCCTTGATGCATTATAATTTCACATGTTACATGGCATTTGTGTACTTCAGGTGGCTGTTGGAAGGATCATGGATGAAGTGCAGCCCTCAGTAGCAGAATTTATGGTGAGCGATCAGTCTTTAATTTTTCACAGTGGCTATCTTTACGGCAGCCGTAACGCAGTTTTCAACTGCAGCCTTTACGGACCGTCCGGCTCCCTGACGAAATCGTATTCAACAAAAGGATCTTTTGCTGTTGGAACCAGACTATCATTCAACCGAATGGCTCTGGGACTTTTGTTTACCTTTAAAAGAAAAATCCTCATAAGCCACGGATTACGGAGAAGAAAATAAAATCTACCTAAATAAAAAGAAGGATTGTGATTAAAAACATGAAAGTACAGAAAACTATTTTAAGAAATTGAAACAGTGGCACAGCAGAGGCATGATCAAACATCCTGTTTCAAACACCCCTCTTGCTATATTATAGAATTTCCCTGTCGCAAGAAGTGGTAAACAACTCCATATATGGAGATTGGCGTATGCGTACTGCACGGTGTGGTGCAGAACGCAGCTGTGCCGGTGTAGTGTGGATTTAGGATTATGAAATACTGAGCCACTGGCAGTATTGTGTGAGGATTGCGAACGTTCGACCAATAAAGCGGCAAAAGGCACCGGCTTTCATATGAGTCCAAATTTCATGTAACACTTGAAAAGTGTTTAAGACCGGCCAGATGGTCTTCATCATTTAAGACCAGCCACGCGACGGGGTCTCGACCAATAGGAATGGGTAAAGTATATGAATTCCCATTAAATAACTTATTATTATTTTTTCTATAGAGTGGTGCCCAAACAGTACAAAATATTGATGCTGTGGCAACTCACATGAAATTCCTGCACAGCATTCTAGAGCGGTTTGTGCGTCTCTTTGCACCTCCATCAGGTGAGTTTACAGTTGTGTTAATCAGTTGTCGTAAAATGTGTTGATGACAAAACCAAAGGCCACTCTAGAAAGCATCTACAGCAATAAAAACAAAACCTGCAAGTTTACGATTTACACCCCTAGATGAGGTAAAGTTTGTGTCGTATACAAAACTCATATTCAAAATTACAAAGCTGTAACCGTAAACTTGGATCTTTCAGGTCAATGTTATGGTTGTATCTGTATGGTTATTTTTTGTTGATTTAGAACTATCTGCTTTTCACATGTTACTTTACAAACGTAGTCTCAAATCAGGAAGTCTATGGCTGCTAAAGCTTTTTAAGCATAACTGTGGCCAGTTCTGGCGGCTGTAGTTGCTAAAACTGTCCGGCAACATTATAGGCTTGTATCGTGAAAAAAAAATAATAATAATTGCCAATTATGGTAAGGAGCTCCATAGTAAGGCAGTATGGGGAAACTCAAGGAAAAATTGAGCTAGTAAAACTATAGGCTTTGTGCACAAGTACCCATCAACGGCCAGAAAAGGAGAGTTGGGGGTCACCTAGACTGATTCCCCATCCATCCACTGCGTATTTCGAATGATCCTAAGTTACTGAGGTCGGGGATTAGTCTGCGAGACCATCGCAATTTAATTCAAACGTATTCAAACGTAATTTACTCAGGTGGGACTCGAACCCACGACCTCTTGCTCACTAGTGCAGACATCTTACCAATCGACCACCATGCTTTCTTCGGTTGACTGACTATTTCAAATCTGATATAGCAGCTACCCGTTGCTACACATGGGAAAGGCAAAAGCCCAGTGTTTGAAATGTACTTTTTCTCAATGCAAATAGATGTTTTTAACACAAAAATTTTCATTCAATATTTCCGGGTTTTTAATTTCATCAGAGCCAAGAGCATTTGGGGAACAGATGAGGTCTCTAGGACAGAACGCTCTGCATCAATGGGTGGCACTGATGCTATACATCTTTGGCGACCGGCCCAGCGTGGATCGTTTCCTGTCCGAACGCTTGGTAAGAAAGTGCCTACCCTAGCTCACAAGGATGCAGTGAAAAGAAAAGTACATTCTTGTAGTACATTTCCATGAGTACGAGTATGAGTATTTTGCCACAAGTATGAGTACTGGTATACAAATATTGAGTGGCTCAGAGTGAAATGGGAGGAATATTATCGCAAGATAAAATCTGGACTTTTCCATTTCACGAGGTGAAGCCGAGTGAACTGGAGAAATCCAGATTTTACTGAGCGATAGTATTCCTCCCATTTCACAATTTAAAGCCACTCAATATTTGTTTTATATAACTGACATATAGATCCTAATCATTTTATATATTTGGACTTTTATTTCACTACAAAATTGATGGGAAATGTATTTCTCTCTTCCAAATCAACCCTTCACGAAAATGTTTGAACCCCATTCTGTAGCGCTGGCTCTTTGGAACAATACGCGCTACGCACAACGCTGAACGTACACACCAGCATGCCTTTGCACGCAAATACCGCGTCTTGGAACAAGAATGATCCTAACTGTTCAATAGTATTTCCCATTCCCCATGGGCGGATAGTACTTTTTGAGAGCCGTTGTGAATGGGAGTAATTAACGAATGTCACGTGATGTGAGTTCCACCAATCATATGACAAGGATATGTACGTCGATTATATAATACAAGTAGTGCAACAGTGATAAATTGTATTTATGAACAAGTGTAGAACTCACTGCACTCTGCCCACTATAGACCCTTTGAGGTGTATTTTGTTATAATGATAACTCCCACTCTGCAACCTCTCCCCTGGCTTCTAGTTAAATTTAGAGTAAGACATAAGGGTTTGCATGGTGGACATGATCAATGAATGGGAGGTTTGCAGGAACACCATGTGAATGATATCTCTTTGTGAGTTATGTGGTTCTGAGAAGACCCAGTTGTTTAAACTCGACGTTTCAAACAGTATGCTCTGACTGGCTAGACTCAAATCCACAATCTGCAGATTTAACTATAGACCATTATCATGTTGTGGCCATCGTGATTTTTGCCCATTCAAATCAACGTAACCAAAGCAAGGCTGGAAGGAAAAATAGTCTGATTCCTTGTCGAACAAACAAAATTATCATTCAGTACTGTCAGTGGATACAGGGAACATGAGTAAAATGGTGACAGCATGGTAAAGGTGTATAGGATCTTGAATTAGATGCTCCAGACCACAATATTGTTATATGGATTGTATAATCACTCAGCGTACCTGGTTCAGTGGTCCTGATGACTCCGGTCCGGGCAGTCTCGTGGCGTCCATGTCCTTGCAGAACTTTGACCTGGCCCACCGCATGCTGACCATTACCCCGGACCAGGTGGCACACTTCATTGTGAAGAAACAGCCAGCATCGGATACAGGTTAGTCCCAAATATAACATCAAGTCTGTCTTGAGCCAACATAAGGATTTCATTTATCTCCACTTTAATTTGCATGAAGCATTAAAAATGTTTCTTCTTCCCGACCCTTGTATGGGATAACAGTTTTTTTTCCCCAGGCTAATTCCTTCCTAACTTAAGTTTATCGGTTTATGCTTAAGGGTTGGGAGAGGCAAGTGGGCATAAAGTGGCTTGCTCAAGAACACAACATAATTATGGCCAGGAGCTAGATTCAATAAGTGTCTTTGTTTTTGTGTTATCATCAGATCGTAGTGCCAGCGAGACCTCCTCAACGCCAGCTGCCACTGGCTCTTCCATGGAAACAGAGCAGCAGCCTGACCAATTAGAAGACAGCTTAGATAATGATCAGGTGATCATTGAGGCACAGATACTTGTTGAAGAGGTTTGTTAAACAGCTTGTTCAGTAAATTCACTTTGCTTGCTTTAAATGCTCATTTTATTCTTTTTCCACAAGACCTATTAACATACGAAGCATCAACCAATCAGAATTGCTAAAATCATTCACGAATAAAACGTTAACTGTGTCCTTTTCTATTCAGCCAATGGATGCTCTTGTGGCCCCTGAACTAGCACAAGTTCAGCCAGTTGCTGTAGAGGGGGCCACCCCAACAAGTACTGAAGCAGCTGCAACACCAGTTCCCATAGCAACACCATCAGAAGAAGGTGCTGTTGCCATGGAAACTGCTGGCTGGGAGGCTGCAGTCCCTGCTGTAAGTTTAAGTTGAACAATTCGATGCAGCAGTTCAGCAGCATCAAAAGGAGGGCCAAAAAATCGACTTGAAGTCATCCTTTTCAATCATTTTGCTGGGTAGTTGTGTATTAGCCTATTGTGGTACAATCGCGTCAACACAGCTTTGAAATATTGTCCAATTACATGATATACAAATGGACGCGGAACACGCAAAATCTGAGACAAAGACAAATTAACATGCAAAATTCCATAGGGTTGTCTAAGGGGCGTGGCTAACTCGAAAACGGCGATAGGTCAAACTGCCTGAGTACTGTATGGTTTTATGGGATTCAACAAGGAATAATTACAATGTAATACAATGTTGTACATGTGCTAATTGGTTAAAGTAAGGAGTAAGTACAATATGAAAAGCCAAAAAAACCCAACAATTTTGTGCGTGCTTCCAATTTCACATTCCTTATCACGCAACATCAGTTCTCTTTACAACTTTAAGGGTAGATTGAAAACTGATCTGTTCTCTCCACATTATCTGTAACTTTGTCTCCTGGAGTTGTCCTTAGCCGCATGTTGTAACTTGCAAACATGCGCGCTACTGATCAATCAAGTTGTTATTAATTCCTCTTCCAAATTTCTCCCTTTCCCTTTTACTATACAAACTTTAATACACTATTTTCCAATTACTTGCATTTTTATCGTTTTATAGTACATGTAGCATTATTTAATCACTATTATGAATGTGAAAAAGGTGCAAGCAACAAATTGTACAGCACAATTCATACGCTTCATTCAGTCCGTCAATTTTTCCTTAACTTGTATATTAACCGTTGTGACATTGAAATACATGTATTCTAAGAAATGTATTCATCCAAACTTGACTCAAATCTTTTTGTGACATTGATACATTCCAAGAAATGAATTCTCCTCAACTTGCATCCAGTCTTGTGCGTGATTCACAAATTCCAAGTAATTTATAGCACCTGCAATACATTCTGTGTTTCTCTATAATTAAACATCTAATACCTACGTTATGTGATTCCCTGTGTTATTTAGGAATGGGTACCGGTTATCAACCAAGATATTGGCCGGCAGCGCAGACAAGCTCCGCAGGGGGGCCTCAGTGATGCATATCTTGCCGGCATGCCGCCAAAGAGAATGAAGGTACCTCATGCCATAAATAATTTGTCACTTTCTTGCCCATCTTAATACTGGTGCTTGTTTCTCATTAAAAAATATATTGAGAATGCTAACATTTATACTGCATGTAACGTGACCAATTCAAAAAGCTGTTACTAGAGTCATTAACCCTAACTCTCTAGCATGATTTACTAGGAACCATACACTATAGAGAACTATAGAGAACTATAGACTATACAGCATTTTTAGAAATAGAGCAAGGTACCAGATAATGTTTTTGACACAGTTGATTGGTGTAGCACAATAATGTGTGTTGGACTGTTTGTTTCATGTGCCAGTCTATTTTCTTGTGTTGCATGTTTTTGCTATCTCTAAGTTTTGTGACTCTCATACACAGTATTGAGAGTTCCGAATTTTTGGACTAGGTCAGCTGGCAGATTTGAATCCAAAATAGCAACAGATACAAACTTCTTTTTTTTTTGGGGGGGGGGGGGCTTTGTGTGAAGCGTGATATGGATGCATGAACGGTAGATGGTGCTTTGTGGTCACTTTCGAAAGCCCCTGTGGGAGGGACACACCTCGTTCCTCTACTGGTACGATTGCATTTGCCCCATACTCACTCAGCCGCAAAGACATCAGTGGCCCGCACGTTGACCTCGTATGCCCATGTCAAACAGCTTGGTTCCAAATGCTCTCTACCTTGCTTGGTCGACCCAGTTGATCACTTTAAGATCGTCTTGTGCATCCTCTGGGCCTTGTCCAGCCGAAAGCTGGGGGTTGACCCTTCCAGGAATCGATAGCGATGTTGAGTACCTTCTTGGTTGGGCTGTTGTCGTCCAGGCGTACACCGTGGCTGAAGAGGGCACAATACCTGTGAGGGATTAGGGAGGCCATCGTGGGCAGTTGTGTTCTGCAGGTGACGCATAGTACGCACAAGTGATTTTAACCTGAATCTGCACAAACCTGTGGCGTCTTCACATGAGTGTCAGGCGTCATCAGTAATGCGTTCTCATGTCCCTCCCAGTTGTCTTTCCAAAATCTCCTTTTGTAACCGTGGAGGGGGTACTTGTGCACGGAGCCCATAATCAGTACTGACTACATGCAATCTAGCCAGAACTTCTTGACAGTCCCCAAAATGTCATTGTCTAAAATAATGTCGTTCCTGTGTGCCCGGTTTTAGCTGACCCAAGATCGCAAGGCACCCATCAACAACGGCGTAGAGACCTTCATTCCGAACACCCTGCGCCGAGCCGTGCAGGCCGTGGGAGCCCAGCCCCTGACCAGCGTCCAAGCCCTGGTACAGGACGCCGAGGCTAGCTCCTCCCTCCACGAAGCCTGCGAGGAGCAGATCAGGAGCGCCCTGCAGGAACGGTTACGCCGGGATCCTGACTACGATCCGCAGCGGTTCCCACACACAGACAAGTATATCCACAAGAAGAAGTAATTTTAAAGTGCTCCAGTTGGAGAGGGGATTTTCTCTTTTAATCTTTGATTTGTTGTACGACTATAACATGACAGTTACTGTGATAACAAAGTGGTGGAAAAATACTATGTATCTACATTGTATGTTTTAAGAAAGCAACATTTCCACAGTGTCCTAAAAAAAACCAGCAACATATGTTAGAGCTCTGCATTTTCAAATAATCGCTTATTCCAACTTTGATTTGATTGAATATTCAATAAATTTGATTTCAACATGCACTGATCAAGTAAAACATGCGCTGGTCTAAAATTGCCACTAGTAGGGATTTGCGTGCGCATGCCGTTTTCGAAAAATTGATAAAGAGCTTATTAAAACACAGTAAAACCTGCCACTCAGGCCACCTCAATAAAGAGACCACCTGCTCAGTCTGGCCACCTTTGGTTGGACTCGACAACAATTGTACATGTATTACACAACTTTTCCACTGTGGCCACCTGGATCATAGTAGCCACATGCCACTGGTCCCTTTGGTGGCCACTGTAGCCAGGTTAGACTGTAATATAGTGAACAGGTAGCAGTGGCTGATATTTGAATGACTTTTAAGAAGAAATTAGAGCTAATATTCCTCATTGAAGCTCTCAAACTATGTGTGATAATGGCTTTCAACAAAAGTGTTGCATTTGACAAACAGTAAAAACACGTCACATAATTTAAAATGTTTTTCATCATCTCCTCGCTCACATTTCAAATATTTGAATTGAACAAAATGCTATTTGGATATTCGGTTGATGATCGAATATTCTATAAAATGATATTCGGCGCAGCCCTAACGTATGAGGGAAATTGCTGATGGGCACCGCACATCTGGTGGTTGGGGAATTTCCATTGGAGGTTGTTAAATTTATGTAAGAAATGGGCAGCGTGGGAAGTGATTGGCTAGGGGTAGTATCTGAATTTCCGTCGGTGTTATGACTTTTTATGGGAATTTGCCAACTCTCTATGGCAAATCGCTGAATTTTAATGGGTTAGCACTGGCATATTATTGAAAACTATTAATCACAATGACAGAATAGCTGACTGACCACAGCAAACCTTAGACCTACAATACATGTACTTTGTTAAATAACCAATAGAAACCAATTGACTTGGTATGGTAGTCAAGGGTTTACACGGAATGAAAGGAAGCATGTTTTTTTTTCAGTGGGGCAACGTGCTATGTAGTCGGATTACAGCATATCTACACTATGGTATAGCAATTTCTGTTGGCACAAATTCAGTTTTTGTGTTCTGATGTATAAGCTAGTTCACCAAGCCTAACAAAGATGGCAGGTTGGTCAGAGTTCTTGGGCTTTTGATTATAGGTAGGGATCTGAATACTTTACGCTTTCTCCATTTCTCAGAATGCAAACAGTGTTCAATGACTGAATGGATGTGCTCCAAAAAAAACTTAGTGTGCATTGCTCTTCAATTGTGTTTATATAAGAAAAACACAAACATCACAGAATATTAATCCTATCACCCTTTGATTTTTTTTGCAAGGAAACCTGAATCCTTCAGAAATCGACCACTGCTAAGAAACACAATAGCACATTGTACTTAATCGTTCTACTTGCATACAATCCCCACGTAAAGGTACTTTGCCTGGGCTGTTGACTTTCACAGTGTATCACAATTATATAAATCTAGTGGATTTCAAAGGATATAATTATTCGATTAAAAAGGGTTAACAACGTTTTCATTTTGAAACGGACGGTAAGTTTAATTGTTAAAAAGTTTTGATTTTTTTTCAATTTGTATTATGCAATCATCATCCATCATTTCCTTGTTCACCGTACATGTACATGCATGGATTATTCCTTTCAAAGCATCTCTTTTTGTTCAAGATCATTTTTTCTTTAATTTCTGTTTGTTGTTTATCACATTTTCATAGAAAGCATTGCTTAAACACTTGCATGAATGTTTCATTTAGCCATCCAATTCAATGAATACGCAGAACTACCTATCAAAGACTTCTTCTGTCTTGCAGTGCTTTTAATTAGCATTTGTTTTGTCTTGTTTTATTATTCTTAAGGATTTTAAGGTACAATTCCCAATTTACAAGCTCTTTAAATTTTCCCCTTAAATAAACAAATCAAGGTTAAATGTATCCACACTACAAACATCAAATTCTGAATCAGACCATGCTATGTTTTGGTTAAACATACGCTGCATTTAAATACATTGATTTTTTTTTTTGGCTTGCTTATGCTTTTTAAGAATGGAAGTTTTGCAGTAACACCATGTGAAAAAAAATCTCTTTTGAGTTGTGTGGTTCTGAGAAGAACCAGTTGTTTAAACTCGACGTTTCAAACAGTGTGTTCCTGATGACAACAGGGCCCAATTTCACGGCGCTGCTAAGCAAAACAAAATGCTTAGCACAAACAAGCCTGGCGTATAAAAGCATTTACCAGCCAAAACTCCACGTGATTTTCATGCTAAAGCAAACAACAGCTGAATACTTATCAAGAGCAATATACATCACATGGAGTTTTGGCTGGTAACCTGCTTTTATAAGCCAGACTGTTTTGTGCCAAGCAAATGTTGGTGCCTAGCATTGCCGTGAAATTGGCCCCTGAGCATACTGTCGAAACTTCGAGTTTAAACAACTGGTTCTTCTCGGAACCACACAATTCAAAAGAGATATATATTTTCACATGGTGTTACCGTAAACCTTCCATTCTTTGTTCATGTCCACCATGCCAACCTTTAAAGTCTCATTTAATGCATTTTAATATATAACATACCAATTTCATAGATCTGCTCAGCGAAAATAAAAATGCTTAGCAGAAACAGGATACCAGCGAAAATGTTACGTGAAGTGTATTGCTATCGTCGGGTACCAGGCCGTTTTGGGCTTAGAACGTAACTTCGCTGAGCAGTGTTTCTGCCAAATAGCATTTTTCCAAGCAGGTCTGTGAAATAATTAAAGCATTCATTTTAACGCTGTTATTCAAACTGGATGCCTAGAAAACTATTGTTACTGAACGTTTGTGTATCATTCTTCATTCTCTTTGTTTTAAGAATTAATTGATAGTCATTTGTCTGAAGTCAGAACATTTGTTGAAATAAATCTTTACGTGCACGTCTGGAATTCTTTTTGTGTTATTTGGCGTTTTGCATCATGTTTTTAAATTTTTAAAAGTTGAAATTTATGAGACCCATTACCGAAGATTCCTCTCCCCACCCTACCTTTGGAAGATCACCCATCCATCCCACACAGGTTTGTTCATGGTGTTTATTGAGGACTTCCCAAATCCCTTGAAGGCCTTATGTTTCTACCCTTTTTCGTTTGTAATCATTGCCATTGGATTTTCAATTCCAGGACCTATATTGTCCATGTAATTTCATTGTTCTGCCTCTCAAAGTTCGCCTTTAATACGCACTTCCGGTCGCTCACACACCCAACCCCAAACCTATAGACCATTATCATGTTGCGGCCATCTTGATTTTTCCCATTCAATTAAACTTAACCAAAGCGAGGCTGGAAGGAAAAAAATAGTCTGGTTCCTTTTTGCACAAAAACCTTAATCACTCAGTACTATTACATGTATTGGATGCAGTTGGAGTGTCATGGCCTAGCGGTTAAGAACACCGGACTCATGCTTTGGTGTTTCAGAGGCAACCGAGGCGTGGGTTCGAGCCCGCTGGGTGGACACTTGTGCCCTTGAGCAAGGCACTTAACCATTGTTGCTTCGTCCTTCGGATGGGACGTAAAGCCGTAGGTCCCGTGTGTTGTGTAATCCAACTTGCACGTAAAAGAACCCAGTGACACTTATCGCCGAGAGAAGGGGTTTGCCCCGGTGTTTCTGGCCTCCTGTATAAACTCCCACGTGGAGTATTTAGGAGAAGAACCAACCAAGAACCAAGAACCAGGGAACATGACTGACATGGTGGCAGCATGATACAGGTCTATACCGCCCAATCCCTACCCAATGTTGAATGTAATGGACACCATTTGCAAACATTAGAAAAAGAGAGACTGTCAAAATATCACGAAATATCTTTCTTGATTGTAAGTAAATACATGTACACTAGTAGGATCATGCATCATGTTAAATCATGGCGCGTAGTCCATTGTATGCTGTCATTTTCGAGAAATGAGGAATTACATGTATCATTCTATGCTTTGCGTCGACTAAAAGTAAAGATGCATGTTCACAGTTTTCAAAAACGTATAATATCTACCGAGCTGACATTTCAACAGGGTTAATGGTGTTTTTTTTTCAATAACCTATTTCAGATTTATTGTATTGTTGAACCTTTAACCGTAACCTTAACAGTCCTTAAACCTTCAACTTTAATATTATTGTTCACACACCTTAGGGGACTAGGGTGCCAAAAACACCTTTAGCAAATGGTGACCAGTACCTACAAATCGTCGTTTTGGTCATGTTTTAAATATCGTTTTCAAATTTTGAGGATTTTTGTTCCCATACGGTGCTTAATTTAAGCGGCCTGGCATACTGTTTTGTACTCAAGATCGAGACCGGGCAAGCCTGGTAAAGTTGGTCCCAGAGTGCACAAAATTCAATTCAACTGATATTCACGGGAAGGATCAGCAATGGGCCGGATTTTTCCCATTCATTGACGTTACGGGGTAATCCTATACAACAGCACTGCCCGGCCTACGAGTGACAGTCAGTGAGTATTGAGTTGAGCAAAGAGGACACAAGGCTGGCCTATAAAAATGCGACTTGGAATCGTTTATTCGCAGCTGCTGAGATAATCCATCGGCACTCTGTCCACTTCTACCCTCAAGATTACCGACAGATGTTGCCATAATTGGAGATACATATTCTATCAACCCCACTATGATTGCACGGTAATAGGCCTACTAAAAGATGTCCGTAATTGAGCGACACAACTGTCATGTCAAATGTTTGCGCGTTAGGTAGGGTTGCAGGCCTGTAACTAGGCCCGAAATTGCCTTCGTCGGCCACATTACGATTTGCATGACCTCAATTTTTACTATGAGAGCATTTTTGTGGTTTGTTAAAAAAAAAAAAAAAAGGGGTGGAAGCCGTGGACAAGAGCTCGTATTTCTGTAAAATTCGGATGAAATAGGGCCCTACAATTGCTCCATTTTGAAATGGAGTGCAGGCATCATTTTTCAAAATGGCGATGGGCTACAGGACTACTTTTACTTAGGGGTGACCATCTTTGGGTGGAATTTTCTCCAAAAAGTCGTCGGTTAATACCGGTACCCAAACAAATTGAACTGAAAATGAAAGATGACGAAATAAGCTTTAATTTAATGTGCGTCTCAAACAGCTTTGGAGAGTTGTGAGTATCTTTCCTGAATTTCGGAAGTAGGCGTATTTATCATTGGGGTCTATGGCAGTTTTTTTTTTTTACTAGTCTGTAGACGTCCAATATGGCGGGCGTGTGGGTGACCACTGACCTGTGACGTCACGTGAAATTCCTCAATAACAGGACATTGTAAAAGAAACGGAAACGACGCATGGAAATATTTTAAGAAATAATTTTTCAGCATTTCCACTTGTCTTTTTTTTCTTCACTAAAAATACAATTTGCCATGCCTGTTTATCAGCAGAAATTTACATGACTATTTTTACTCATGATAAATACACCCTGCCGAAAATTATGTATAAAACGAACATGATTTTCTTCTCAGAATATCTTCCCTAATAATTAAGCCTAATATTCATTCATAAATCTGTAAACTGCTTTTTTCTTTAAAAACAAAGCTGCTGCAAAAGGAACCAATTCTTATTCTTATTACATGCACATTGGTGAATTTTAAATCTTGAAACAAAAGCTATCTACGATTTTGGTACCAAAATTAGAAAGTGCGAAGTTTGTATTCTTAATCACAAAAAAAAAAAATATTTGAAATACATTAGAAATGGCTGCTCTTATAAAGCACACATTTTAATTCATTCCCTCATTAAAAATTCGCATGAAATATTTTACAAATTAAACACAAACTTAACAACAATATCATATTGCGTGGAAGACAGTATTTAAAAAGGCACTCTGTGGTGTCTATAAACAAGCAAAACCGAAGCGAGCAAGTGGAAAAAACTGCACAATAAAACGACTTTAAGGGGCGTGGCTTATCTAAGAGGCGGTGTAACCGACGTCGTCATTGTGAAAGTGTGAAACCACCCTATTTAAAATCCCCAAAACTAACTCGTGCATAAATTTATACTTGGTTCCTATTCAGAAAACTACTTAAAACAAATAACAAGAAATCTGTTCAAAGGCCAAATAATGAGAATCAAAATGTTTTCCCTTTTATAAGAACATTTAAAGTGTGTTCATCATAACCCATAGTTAAAAAACTGAATCGACAATTTGCAACGTCAAATATAAAGAATGTCTGGTTTCTTGATACATATACAATGGATTTAGTCAGTAAATTTACAAAGGTGCTTCATTAAAAAAATGCTAAACAATTTTATCAGCATAGCGAACTGCAGAAATGAAGACAGAGAGTGTAAAAATCACTTTTCATTTTGACTGTTAGGCTAACTTATTTCGCTGAGCAAAACTGGGCAAAACTGGAAGAGAGACTTCGAAATGTCAGCGGAGTGTCAATTTCAAAAAGCAAGAAAGTTGGTTCCCAACCAAAACGTCATTTTCCTGAATGGTTTTGACTGGTATATACCCAGACAAAAGCTCCATTCAGCAATCAAATTTTGCAAAGCAAACTTTTGCAACCATATTTCTCCATTGGTCATGGACCTTAACTAACCCATGCAATATCTAAAACGTCGCCAGTTAAAAGAAAATGATCTACACAAGAAATGTTTTACTGCTTTGGTAAGACGTTCTTTTTGAAGTCATTCGGCCGATTGGTGTTGCCTGGCGGCCGGTAGTTGATCACCACCACGTACCGCTCCGCGTTCAACATCTTGGCCTTGGCTATTCCTATTTCGGTGGTCGACTTCCAGACCATCTGGGTGAATCGTTCTGTGCCTGAAAGTGGACATGAAACGGCAGTTATGGTTATTGAAAACATGCAACAGCGTATGGGTAAGTATTAATTGTACGTTAGCTATAGACGAATCCGGCACGTCACGGGATCTCCTTCGATGGAGAAACTACTGGGCATGATATTGTACACAGCAACTGCCATGCGACGGATTATCATTTTCTGAACAATAGCTACCACAATGCTTTCGCCATTGAAGGGGGCCTTCGTGATAAAATTGATAGCGTACCGGGATTGGTCTATATGACATGGAACAGTTACTAGAATATTGAATATTGAAATAAAAATGAATGTAACTATGTGATTAAAATCGGCCATTGTTTATAATTATCAAGTGTAAGGGTCGAAACATCAGCCCCTCTAACTTTTTTGATTTGTATATTTCAGGTCAATCCAGTCAGTAAGCAGTTCGCAGCAGTTTTATTAAATATTCATTAGAAAACAAGACTTGTCAAATCAGCGCAGAGCACAGGAGATAATTATACGTGTGATCTCCACTGAGGGACAAGTAAAACAGCGATTCCTCGTAAGTACAATCTTTGTGCATCTATTATCTGTGTGCAGATTTGCATTCGTGGAACTGCTCATGCGTGCATGCGCAACCAGCATGCGCTCTTGCGCGATTTCAATTGGATCACGGGGAAAATCTCGGCACATAACACAATGCCAGTCAGCCTGGCTATAGAATATCAGTGTAGTGAGGTTAAAAATGATTTTGAAAAATAAATAATCAAATTTCCTCGAACAACTTCCCTGGAGAAATTCGTACCTTTCTGCCATCTTGGATTGTCGAAATCATAATATTCTGTTTCCTTCTCCCACAGATCGACGAGTCCTTCCCCGCTGATGTCCTCGTCTAATGTCGTTATGTGTATGTTCTCTCCAAGCACTGCATGATGTGCATGAACAAAAAATTGTAAGGTAAGATCTGTCTATACGATTTCTAGGAAAACTTCTTATTACAAATTTTCAAATGAACCACAAGGAAAACTGACTAGGTGAATTATTTACCATGTCATAAGGCCAAACAGATATGGAACTGGAGATTAGCGCAATCTTTTTTTACCCTCATAGGTACTCCTAAGTGGAAAGAGGCACTTGCAGTAAAATGTCTTGCCCGAGGCCGAGAATACATGCATCACAATTTGAAGTCAGTGCAATCTGTTTTGGTAAACTCTTGCCTAAGAACACAAATATCACAACCACTGGACTACGGTGTGCGGCAGAAAACATTTGTCAATACCCTGTACAGGGTGGTCAAAAAACAATGCAACCTCATACTTCCACTATTCAGAGGCCTACACTATTGCTATACATATGATAGGAAATTTTGTTGGAAGGAAAATGATACCAAGAACTTCCGATTCGGTACAGTAGTTTTGATTCGATCCAGCGCCATTTTCTGTGAACCAAAGTCAGGGGCTCTAATTAGGGTTATCACACACAGTGAACAAAATGATTATCTTAACCCCTGACTTTGGTTCTCAAAAATTGGCGCTGGAATCAAAACTAAAAGTTCTTGGTATCATTTTCCTTCTAACACAATTTCCTAGCCATACATATCAAAGGTTTAGGTCCCTGGATATTGGAGGTATGAGGTTGCATTTTTGGACCACCCTTTATACATGAACATTATAACAATTGCATGTACTTTTATATAAAGGATTAAAATATATTATACGTTTTTTTTATTCACGACAGTTGATAAGCACAGTTTGACTCGTACTCACACTGGTTTTCACTGTGTTGCTTGTATCCCTTCTCGGCTAAATTCTGTGCCCAGTTAGAGGCTTGTGTTGCCACATCATCTGCCCATTTTAGGGGCGGGGCGCCGTAATCTTTGCGGAGCCGGTTGTGGGCGTCCAAGCACGACTCTTTAAACTCCTCTGAGAAGAAAAAACAATGGTGAGTTTTTACAAGTATTCCCTTGTGAATTATCATCACCGTGGTTCTACAATTTTTGCACAATTCATTCTACTTTTCATGCTTTCTTGTTCATGCTTTATGTACACAAAATGGCAGATTCTACTTAGTTGTATCGCACTAGTTAACGCAGTGCGTTTATCTTCAACCATATGAAGGCAGCACTTAGAAGGAAGGAGAAGAAGAAGAAGATCCATGCAGGGCGATTCTCAGTATGACTTATTGGATAATTGAGGCTCCTTCCTGGTAGGGGGCATTCGGCTCATGTAGGACAAACATGATTAAAATGATAGATGTTCATTTATCAGATGAGATAATGATGATGACGATCGATAATGTTGATAGAGTAAATGAACATGACGCCTCAATAAGGCCAAAAAAAAGTCTCCGGTTTCTGGTATGGAGCTTGCCCAAAAAGTGGTGCGGCGACGCAGCTTTTTTTGTTTTACCTGTTTTTTTTTTTGCTTCAAATGTCGGCGGATGACTGCAAAATGGTGCCCGACTAAACTTAGTGCAAATATATGGGAGTCCAGAGAGGCCACATAAAGCTTGTTCTCGATCATAACCCCATCTAAAAACACGTTAAAATTGTGCAGCAGCAGGATTCCAGTCAAACCAGTGAGTTTGGTGGTTTTGAGACATCATCTTTCATTGAAAAAAAAAACAACGTTTTCATTTTGCCGACGCGCATGGCTACGGCGACGCGCGCGCATACCAGAAACCGGAGACTTATTTTGTTTTGGCCTAACCACGTTGTTCAATCAACGTAAATTGGAACTGTGGAGTAATATAAAGAAGGCCTAGAGAAATGTCAGTTTTTCATTTTGTTCGGTCAAAAGCAGGTAGTGTTACATTAATCAGTAGGCTGTAATAATGCAACAACCCTCAAGTTAGTTGCTTAGCCAGTCTTTTAGTCGCATGAAATTTCTAACGCGCTCGTTATAACATATCAGATGTGATTTCTACAATGGCCTTCATGAAATCGAACCCGACTTAATCCGAAACTTAACCCAAGAATGCAAGCAAACATATCAAGTCCCTGTATACAATGTTCCTGCAGAATTCTCTTAATCACGCGTTCAACTGGTTCAAGTGCATGTCAAGGCGAAGGCACAGCATGCGGCACGTCCAATAAGTTTCCATATTGGCCCTATACGTATAGTTCTACAGACTTTCTAACTACATATCTGTGAGGGGGGGGGGGGGTAATGTGAATCGTATTTCTAATTTGACCAGCCCCGTCCCGGGGAACTTTCTGATTTATGCGGCTGCGCGCAGGCACCGTTGTCAAGGAAACTCACGCCCTCTGTACGAGCGTCTACACGTGAGGTCGGTGTTTCTGTTAATGCTTCAAACATGGCCGGTCCAACTGCTATCGAAGTGGGTTTTGAAATTTGTAAAACCTTTTTCATCCAGAGAGTGAAATTGTCCTTATCATGTTCAGAAACCCCGTCGTCCTTTTCAATGGTCGAGTTTGTTAATATAATACGTCCTAGATAAACAGTAAATGAAGATCAAACAACAGAATTCACGTATTACATCAAAACTAAAAAAATCTGTATATAATATTCTGAGAAGTTGGTATGGCGGTCTTTTTCCCCAGATATTCTAATAATATTGTGTGCATTTTATATTATTGTCCCTCAATCCTCCACAGATAAGTAATCAGACTCCGTAGAATACAAAATTGAAAAATTTGTACGCTCAACAACAACAAAAACCAGATAAAAATACTATTTTTAGGCAATGTTATTTCCCAACATTATTATCAAAATAGCTCAATTCTTGGTCAACTCGATTGGGTAAACATTGACCAACGTTTGAAAAGAATTGCCCAGGAGTATATTAGGCAGGCTGTATGTTTGCTAACATTGGTCAAAATACCAACCAATTTGTCGTTTGTTTTCCCCGCTGTAGGCCAATGACAGAATATCTTCCAAATATCTTAACAATTTTGTGCAAGATATAATGGTTCCCAAAAAAATGTTTGCCAGACCGTCCCTGAACCCCATCTCCCTAAAAATGAACAAAATTGGGGGGAAAAAATCCTCGACAGAAGGGGTGAAGAACCCAAGTTGTAAACATGGGGTCTGGACTGAGAAACGTTGACCCGACCCCCATAAAACAAACTCTCAAACAGCAAATAGTTGTTACCGACTATAAACTCGGTTAGTAATGACATATAACAGTTTACACACCGTTTATAAATCGACCGAATAAATTGTGTTTCTCTGGCCCGTTTCACAGATGTCAGCCCCAAGACTTAAATCCTGAACTTCAATGGTTACGGTTTCAAAGGGGTAATAGTAATTTCATGATTTCTGGCAAAGTGTTCCGAAAGCACCATTCTTTCAAATATTGTACTTGTCCGTGTTTAAAAAAATCTATCAAATCAAATTACATCTTGACGTTCTCTCCTTCCTGCTTTAGTTATTCTCTTCCTTAAATCGTTCGGGTTCTCGGTAAACGAGAATTTCGTGACTGGTTCGATCAAGAAGGTTCTTAAAAAACGGAACCAAACGAGATTATGATATGTTCTAAATATTGTGCAAAGCAGTCTGCTTTCCAAAGCACGACATGAAATTTGGTGGCACACTAACAAGGCAGTCAAATCCGACCGTCATTGATGTGCCAAGCTCCCTCGGGACAAAAATCGTCCAGTATTACATCCCTCTCGTTCCTCGTAGAAATCATGAAGATATAAGGCTAAATTGCTACGGAGCCAGTGTTTTCCTCCAATCTTTGTATTCTACATGCAAGCCTGCTCCAATATCCGCAATATCGATGCGATTAAAATACAGCCGCACACGTTCAGCCACAAAGTCAATTGTACAAATAATATTTATGCTGGTTAATGTCATCTTTCAAAAACAAATATGTCATCCTTAGATTGTTATTCTTTAAAAACAAATAGCATACACGCAGACAACTTACACATGTCAACTAACATCTCAACGTATGACAGATGTGTGTTGACATTAACGATGTCGAATGTCTCTCTTAATGCAAACTACCCCCAAGAATGTGCCTTTAAAGCTAGGTCCGTAGTTTTTTTACGCAATTCTTGAAAACTTCACCTTTGTGCCCCATATATCTATATTTTCAATTATCGTTTTGCCATTTTCAACGGTGTTTTGGTGCCTTTTATTTTCTTTATTTCTTTTTTGCTAAAGCGACTTTCCTTGTTCATGAGCAAATTAAGTGTGATGTTGTTTCAGGCAGAAAGCTCAAAGTTACAACTAGTTTCAGCACTTAAAGTTGCCAGAATTTTGAATATTTCGGTGTCGTAGTTTTTCTTGTCTTTAGTGATTCGTTGTTGTGTCAGTACGTGGTAGTAAGCCAGTGAGCAACCTTTTCTCACAAATGTTCTCAGTGAACAAATATTTGGGTTCAAATTTGTAACAGAAACACCTGAAATAAACGGTGTCTTCCTGAAGTGACATCACAGCAACAGCGCCCTCAGTTGTCCGGAAAACCATGGCAAATTGTGAATGTTAAAAGAAATGCACTTTTCCATTAAAGTAACCAAACAGAGCTGTCAAATAGTTTCATACACTTCAGAGGATTAGAAAGTTGCACAAAATGTGTTCCTAAGAAAATGTTCACTTCATTAGGCCCTTTAAGCTCGCATTGCGTTTACGTATGGAATTCCGTAAAACCAGGTTAACCATAAAATTTCCAGACATTTCCAGACATTCAAAAAATGACATCCGATCGCCGAGAAAGAGTTTAGTAACTATTCGGTTACTAAAGCTCTGGAAAGTGTTTTAACAGATGGAAGATGGAAATATAGGGTTACCTTGTTCCGCTGAAAGATGAAATCAATTCAAGGACATTTTTTTTTCCTTTCATGGTTTGTTGTGGGAGATGTGTTCACATAAAATTGATGGTTGCCTATTTTTCTTGTATATAATTTGCAGCTTTTACAGGACGATAAAGATCACACTATAACAGAACTGATTTTTTTTGCAACGGATATTGACTGCATCTTATTGTTCGGTAAGGAAGCTAAAAGGGCCATGTAAGAGCCATTTTGATTTCCCAGTTTTTGATTTCGACATAAAAGTGGTCGAGTAGGCCTATATCTTTGATTATGATAGATATAGCAGATATAATAAAAAAGAAAAAAAAAGAAAAAGAAGTACAGACAGAATATTCATGGCTTTGCAGTTTAATGTGTCTATTATCTCGGGATTATATTACCTTCATGAATATATACAATGTCAGCGAGTGCTTCTAGTAATATCTGAATGTAAAAGGAAGTATCGGTCTCTTGGTACAAAGTGCTTTTGTAGAAACAGTCCAGAAAATAATCTGGACGAATAGGCCTATTTCACACCGTGATAAGGAAATAGATAGTTAATTGTTTCATTGGCATATGATATAATAGCGAAGACGACAGGGTGGACATAAAATTGGTGAAATATTGCAATATTGCAATATTTGCTATTGGTTGGGCACTGTATTTGATACGTCGAACACTGTCGATCAAAATGCTCATCAATCAAGCACGTACTTAATTGTACATGGTTGCTGTCGACATGTTGTCAACGAAACAAACCTAATGCATTTGGGTGCTCACAGTTAATGATCAAACCTCAAAAATACGCTTGCCGTCGACTGTCGTCCAATAAAAGGTGTACTATATCACACACTGACATGTAGTATAGGGTGAGTAAAAAAAAACGAAATTCAAATGTTAGAACTATTGTTTAAGTGAAGTTCTGCATGTATAGCACTTTCAAAATCTAGGATAGGAAAGCCCGATTCATAAGCTTTCATTTAATACAAGAATCATTCAAATCACTCATGTACTTTTTAAGTTACGGAATTTAAAAAACAACAACCGTTTTGAAGTTCTGTCCACGTTTCACACAAAAAAATGTGCGTTCTTTCAGCAAAACGAAAACAAATCACATGGGGGAACTTCACTAAAACAATAATCCTGACATTTGGGTTTCTTTTTTTTTTAGACTCACAATGTAAAGGCCGATTTATATTCGACTATTGAGTTGAATATGGCTGAGCATGAATTCCTTCCTCCATGGGTTGAGCATGTGAATTATTTTGCTCCTGATTGACATATAGTTGAACACAGTGGAACTACCAAACTTGCTCTGACAACATTAACACACAATGGTACATGAAAATATATATCTTTATAACCTGTTACTAACCAACGTACACGATGCAGCTGTGTTATTACATTTGGAACAACACTTCCGACTAAATAAAATACATGTAGCCATGAATGTTATTAACATGCATGGTTGGCTATGCACATTAATGTGTGATGGCTATGCACATGTACATGAATTTGTAATGGCAGAGAACACTCACTGTGTCATATTTACTCACCAATGAGACTGTCTTCCGGCATGGTGAAGAATTAGCACCACTCGAGCAAATCCTCAAAAAGCCTACGATAAAACAAAATTGTTTCCTATGATGAGAACTGTACTAAACTATATATTTCGTCTGTATATAGTTTGGATGCCAACAAGATGCAGTTCAATCGATTTACATTTAACGACCGCTGTATACTAGTATTTCGCATTCACTGCGGGCTCCGCATTATCATAGTCTGGCGTACGGTTAAGCCCAACTGACTTTTTCCCATTCAGTGAATTGAATTACAAGCTACATAGGTATAAAGGTCGTCAAGTCCAAAGACTGAAGGCTGTACAAAGCAGGCAGAGAAACGCTCCACTGGCTCTGTTTGCAAAAAAGCGCCCGGGTAAATAGTGGAAGCGGTCTGCCGATTGCACAATGTTCACTTGTCAGATAGGGGTTTGCATTACACGGGAATTATGATGTGCTGTTGAGTGTTAAAACAATTTTGTAAGGCAGCAACTTCATTACTTCAAAGTAATCATACTGCATTATTATTAAGCTTCTTGTCTGGATAGATCGATGTCAAGTATCGATCAGTGGCCAAGCTAAAAATTGATAAATTCCCCCTCCCCTAATCGGGACCCACCCCTCCCGGCTAGCCGGCTCAGCATCGAGGACTTTCCTTCCTCCATGATTGAAAAGAGGCAAAAATGAGCTTTTAGTTGGTCCCAGAGTCCGAGAGGGCCAGCCTTAAGTATCTTCTTTCGGACTGACTGTCGCTTGCAAGTAACTTAAGACTTGCTCGGGCCTCTCGTTCAAGTTGGCCCATCAACTTTGAAAGTTCGACCCTAATGACAACCCTTGACCCAAATGGTCCGTGCTTAGACCATAGAGCTAGACCAAATTGGTCTGGGACCATGCCTTCCAATTCCTACCTCTATGCTATACGCGTGCCTATAGTGTGACCCATTGAGTGCTCCCTCCAGATAATGATGCCACTTCTCCCACCTGTAAATTGCACCCCAGTAACGTCTCTTGTGTCATAGTGTCAACTACACATCCCCTCCGGATTGAAGTGAAGCCCCTAAAAAGGTTGAATAATGAAACAGTCCGAAACACCTGAGCCGGTCATGCAGTGCACGTCACACGTGAACGTGTGAATCGGACGGTTGGCTGGAAGCGTGTTTGCATTCCGCACTTCTCTGTTTACTCATACCCCAGTGTATTCTTACACTACCGTTGTACACGTCATAACACCAACACGTTTGTCCTTTGAAAAGCAAATTTTACTCCAGTTTATTCAAAAGGGGCATTGTTAGCGGTCTATTGAGTCCCAATATAATGCTAGGTAACCCGGCAGCATGACGAAATGTCAATAGACCGGGGAAGACAGGAAAGAATGAAGTTTTTAGACCCCATTTGTTAAATGTGTTCAAACTTTATGGGGACTTTGATCTGCCAGTGTTTAAATTAGACAACATTTTTCAGACCCGTTTCTTTTTGGTTTTAGTTGATAGGCCTGTTTTATAATGGGTGGCCATCCTTGTGAAATTCTTGTGACAACGTGGCCCAGTATTTGAAAGGTTTCCTCTTCCTTGCTCTATGTCTTAGATTGTTTTTTTTTCCCACAAAGTTTGCTTCGAAACTTTGTAGTTCCACATGCCACATGTGCCCTGCAGATTTCTACATAGTGGTCTGGCGCCCTCAATCTGATCTCACCAAAACCCTGCACCGAACATGTGGATGCCCGATTGAGTTGAAAAGCAAGTCAAACAAAACAAGTTAAAACCTATCATTGAGATCTTCTGGAATAATCTGTCAACATACACCAAATAAATATGATTGGCATATTCTGTGCTCGCTGGAAATAACGCGTGGGTGTTGAGGTTTAACTGCAACAACCTGAACGCGACAAGATGCACACTTAACTAAACAGTGGATTTATATGCAGTGAACTAGACGATGATGATTGCATACATGATGCCCCATTACACTGATGACCAGTACTAGATAACTGCATTATACCTGAACGATGACAGTTATCGTGAATATTGACATGCTTTGACCATGTCCGTCAACCTGCATCCATGTTCACACCTCAATGTATTAATTTAAGCATACTTACTGTACTGTGTTTGCTAGATGTCTTGCCATGCGGTGGATACTGCTTGGACGTCTCTAATGTTCATCACTGCAACGCGTATTGAATACAACGGCAATTCCCGATCTATCATCGACGAATTGGTACACAACAGCGGTACACAATAATGCAGCCTTTCAGGCCTGCCAAGTGCTCTTTTCATATGTAAAAAGCCGTTTGTGTAACCGCCTTGGGAATCTGCCAAGATAATGCGTGGCCATCTTCTGTGAGGTCACCCAAGGTCAGTTTTTGCTCTGCTCTCTTTGGCAAAACTTGATGGGCGAAATAAAAATGATGTGATTGAAATTAAGTTGTACCATGGAGGTAGGAATTCCTACCTCCATGGTTGTACTGCACTAGTGAAGGCGATGAAGTTGCACGAGCGAGATTTATTAATTGTAGGGAATAAATACTGTCCAGGCCGTGAGATTGGTCAGGATTTTATGAGGTTTTAGTCAGAATTGTTTTCCTGGTTATTTTTTGTTTTCAGGAGATTTGTAGGGATTTTTTTCCTATTTCAGGATTTTTTTGTCAGGATTTAGTTCCTGTTCTCATTTTTTAAAGAAATCTTTTGAAATCTGGAATACCTGAGATTTTACCATAAAGATGTGTTTTTGTTTTACATCTAAAGGTTTACACAGAACAAAAAAAAAGTGTTTTTTAAAAGGTGAATAGTTTCTTAGGAACATATTTTGTGTGTAACTTTCTATTCCTCTTCAATGTATGAAAAATATTTGACATCGCTTTTGGGTTAATTTATTGAAACGTGCTTTTCTTTAAACATTTACAATATTTGTCATGCTTTTACGGACAACTAAGGGCGATGTTGCTGTGATGTCATTTCAGGAAGACACTGTTTAGTTTTGTGGTTTTCTGTTCCAATTGTGGACTAAAAAGAAATGCTTATTAAAATATTTATGAGAAAAGTTTGCTCGCTTGCTATACTGCCATGTACAGACACAACAACGAATCACCAAAGAAAAGAAAATTTACAACAGCGAAATATCCAAAATTCTGGCAACTTTTGGTGCTGAAATAGCTGTAACATTGAAGTTTCTGCCTGTGAATGATATCACACACTTGCTCATGAATAAAGAAATTTGTGTTAGCATGAAAACCAAAAAGGCATCAAAACACCCTTGAAAATGGCACAAAAAAATTAATAAAAATAGGGTTAAATGGGACACAAAAGTGCAATTCCAAGGATTGCGTTACAAAAGATACATTGCATGGGCCCTTTAAGGGTGCCTTTAAAGGCAAATTCATACAAACATACTACTGCTCTGGGGCCCTGCCCATACCCTCTGCCAATTATTTCGTGGATTTTTCATTTCCTCCCAAGCTCACCACTGAATGCAGCGTGAACATAAGTATCTTGTTTATTCAAACCACATGCCAGGTACAGATCGAGCCCCTTGAGTATAACACACCATTTTTGTTTTATGTTGCAGTCAGTATTGTTTCAGCTGCCCACTCTGATAGAATGGTTTCTATGACCATGTATAGTGCATGGTGGACAACATGAGGGCGCTATAACAATAAGGTATGTGATCTAATAAAGTGTTTTCGTCACTATTCTGGTTCCCTCCAACCTCGTTCCCATACATTCAACCTGGAGACGGAGCAGCTATTGTAGTGTACTGCATGCTCGACGCTACGGGGACGAGGGTGCGTTTCCTCAAAAGTTCACTTAAAAAGTGTAGCACGCATCCAGCGGCTTTCGAAGTCGATGCATGCGCATGACGTCACACGTAATGTTTTCATTTTTAGTGTAGACCATGTGACACAATTATGGTCATATGATGGAAACTTATAGCAAACCATTCTCTTTCTCACTGCATGCTCACGTAGGCTTCTATCTCTTGAAATGTGAATGTTTTAAAGTTGTTGACATCTTGAACTGAGGGAAGATACAACATTTGCAAACATCACAAAACGAAAAGATCAAATTATCACGAAATACTTTACTGGTTTGTTTGGGGGTGACAGTCTAAAGCATCCTGTAAAATCGTGGCTCCCGATGTGCTGCCATTTTCAAGAGAAAATTGTATTTTTCCAACGCTGGTCGACCGACCATCGTTCGAGAAAACTGGCTTTTTTTCTCAAAAACTGCTCATAATTTTTCATAATTACATTGTAGTTATTCCGCGTTACTTTGCAACCTGTGAAGGAGTACAAGCCTGCTAGCTAGACTGATTCTCTGACCTTACAATTCCCCAAAGTCTATTGCTCCGTTTCATCTTCGTGGGGTCAGGGAACCAGACTACAAGAACATGATTGCTTTTTGGGTTTTTTTCCAGCACATACAAGCCCAAAACGTGAAACAAGTCATTTCAGCAATATTTTCTATAACATATTAATCCTCCAAATCCATTTATTCAGAAAATTGCAGCAAAAGCAAACGTTGTACATTCCCTTTAAAATGTGGGCCAACCAACTTGCAAATGTGCTTAAATGTTCGGGTTGTCCGGCAACCTCGTCCCCAGTGCTTACTTTATTTCCAACGTTGTTTTCAATAGTAAACCCTGGATAGGAAGCTTCCTATTGGCTAGAAATAGATTTATATCGTGTACTTGGTGTTGTTATTCACAACGTGCAGTACGTGTTTTCGCGATCATTCGTCCACGCCTTCTCGAAAATATTCATTTCCTTTCCAGTTTGTTAATATTAATATGAAATGTGATACTGCATGTTGTCTCGTTAAGATCGTAACAGTTTAATTAAAATGAAATCATGTTTTCGTAACTCACGCCATGCTCGCGCTGCGACGAATTGATTCTGTTTTTACCCCAGACACCGCATACAAAAACAAACGCAAATGTAACGCACAGGTAGGCACCAGACTACCCCTAATTTGCATACGTGTTCAAAAATCTTGCACATGCAAATGATCCAATACCAGGGTGAGAGAGCAGGTAGTGGTGGGCGCGTACTGCTCGACACCCTGGGGACGAAGTTGGTTGTCCGGCGGTTGCCTGTCAGCATGACGTCACAGGGCACATGGTCTATATTGATTGCGTTAAGATTTTTTCTCAAATTAAGGACACTGTTGACTGAAACTAAGAAATATGACGCCTCTATTTCGTGGATAAGTGATGTTAATAACTGCGTAAAAACTAAAATGTAATTGTAGGCATAGGCAAGTCTGTTTGAGAACATGATGAGAGTTGGCGGATTAGACAATACCATAATACATAATTAATTTTGAAAAATGGGCAAACATTGCAAATAATATCAAAATCGTCTGACGACCTGGTGCATGTGTTAAGACAGTTATTTGGGGTTTCAGTTGAAGGGATATAAAATTACGAAGCAAAAATAGGTGGCTGTCTCTAAAATGAGTTAACCAAAGGAGTTACCGATATTATAGAAGAGACCATCTCATGCCAAGCTCATGTGGTTAACCAGTGCTGATATGCAGTTGACTTGAGTAGGTAAAATTTGACTCAAGTTCCATCTTTTGCTATTTCCTTGCACGGTGACTTGGGAAAACGACAAAAAGTCGGCTTAAGTGATGCCTTGGGCGCCCAACTCTCTGCGTCATGCATTGTATAGCAAGAAAATACTCGCATGCATGCGCAATGGTCACATTCTTGAACTCTATGCTATTGTAACCTTTTTTTCCAAACACCCTGCAAGTTCGCCCCTGGGCACAGAAGTTGGTCAGATTTTATTCCAAGTAAAGCCCTATGCCCTTGGTACCAGTTCATTGGCAGAACCCGATATCCCATTCCAGTCCTTTGTGTAATACGCCCGTAGTAATTTGTCACGTGAAAACCGCGGCCTATCACTTTCAGCCCAAGAATAACACCGCACTCGTTCCCTATTATTGCATCACGTCTCCTCAGAGGGCGTCGGTGAGAAAGTTGTGTTTTCACAGAATCGCGGAAGATGGGCCGCGGTTCCGGGGCAGCGGGTGGCCGGCTTTCCCTCCCCGGGAACAAAAACCCTCAGAAGCTGGGGGAGTATAGCTTTATTGATTCGGTGGGCCGAGTGCCGTTCCACGGAACTCTTTCTTTGATCCACTTCCCCCCTTCAACTAGGATCTTATAAATTGAGAAATTGGCCTTCAGAAAGCCAGTGAGACAGACAAGGTCGTATTACATTTTCAACAATATTTCATCCTCTGAGAGGTGTCATTCATGCAGTGTCTTTCCACCCACCCCTGCTTTGCAGTCACCGCACGCCTCACCTTCACGTCCACATACAAAGAAAAATTGATTATCTAATGTTGAAACAAGATATAACGAAACCGATATTATATAGCAAACCCAATGTCCCGCGCTGTAAAATGAATACGTAAAGTATTTGTACAACTGGGTTTTTTTTGGCTTGAGTATTATTTAACAAGCGTTCAATACTTCTTTCAGTATTTGTTTTAAAGTTTCAACTGCATGCTGTGAAGTCAGGAGAATTGTCAGAAGATTACAGCTTCATATTCTGTTTAATTAAAGTCAATTCAATTTTTTTTCATAATGCTGGCGATATAAAAGTGCAAAACAAGTTTAAACAAATCATAATGTTCAATTTAAAGGGAGGTCGTTGATTCAAATCCCGCTCTAGTCAATTTCAAATATAATCTTACACCAACATAAAACATAATCAACTTGAGAAATGAACAATTGAGAGCCATGTTGAAGGCTGATAATACACTTTGAAAAAAAATATCAAACGCCAGACATTTGGTTTTTTTTTAATCGCACGCTGGGACTGAAGAGCAGATGCAATTTCAAAACGCGTGCATCCTGCGAAGGCCGGCAATCAATTTAGTGCACCTGCAGTGAGTGCAAGTCTTTGCGACAACCTTGAAAATGTGTATTTCAAAACAGAAAACATCTTTAAGATGTCTGCCCCTTTTGTCTTTGTTTTTTTGTCTAATAAGGCACCATAACTCTGCATAAAATTTAAACACCCATCTAAAGCCTGGTTACCCCTCATCTCTTAATTATTCAACAAAAAATGCGGAGCAATATTATGGGAAGATCTATGGTCAGGGTTTATAGTTTCTCGTAGAAACAACACAACATAAAAACACAAACAGCGTCATCTGGTTAGAATGTGACCAGGGTCAACTCGTGCCCACGGGATTCACATGCATTGGTAGTGACGGTAATCACCCAAAATGTTTTGCCCATACACTTCACCAACATTTTGTGAAAGAGCCTGCCGGATACCAGCGATCTTGAAAATGGTGAATATATTATCATAGGCCGTTACATGGATACCACCGTCTTAATACGTGATAATAATAAATTAATAATACTAATAATAATACCGGGCACGTGGTTACTTGAGGGTTATTTTGCTCAGGATTCAATGGCATGGTGGGACGTATTTTCAGTGAAAAGCACCCCCTCAGCTTACCACGTGACCACAAAGATTGCCATGCACCAGAGTGTCATTGTCGAGAGCAAAAGATCGAAGACTTAACTATCTCTACAACTTGCATATAACCCTTTTTGTGATATGGTGGACACAATAATTAGAGTGCTATTTGGAGTGCACACACTCTTTTATGGTTGCAGGCCGATAAATGGGCTCAAAATTGCCTACACCGGTCAAATCACGATTTGCATGCTCTCCAATTGTCTGCTATTGGAGTATTTTGTGGGCCATGAACTCGAGGGTTCGTAAAACAGAGGGGTGGAAGCCGGGAACAGGACTGCGAGCTTTGATTTCTGTGAAATTTGGATGAAAATAAGCCCTAAATTGCTCTATTTTGCAATGGAGGGTACAATTATGCTTCCTTTTTTCAAAATGGCGATGGGCTTCACAGGACTACTTTTAGGGGTGATCACATTTGGATGGAAATTTCTCCCAAAATTCATCAGTTTACCCCCCAGAATTGGACAGAAAATGACAGATGATGAAATAAGCTTTAATTTGATGTGTGTCTCAAACACCTTGGAGAGTTGTGAGTATTTTTCCTGATTTTTTGGAAGTGGGGTATTTATCACAGGAGTCTATTGCAGTTTATTTACTAGTCTGCAACCTTTAAACCGAACTTTACCCTATTTAAATAGCGCCCTCTGATTGTGTCCGCCATATGCCTAAACTGCTAGTAGGTCGCAGCAATGCACGGATCAGATATACAATAAGGCGACCACCACAAGTACCTCTGTCAGATAATAACATTAAGTGATGCACTGAGATGAATGTTGCTTTTATCCAGTGATAAATGCGAAGGCAAAAGGTTCTGAAGGATTGCTTTGTGTTTGCCGAACCCTTCAAGGTTGACGTTCAAAATTTGGGACACAGCTCGAGCAATTTGTGCAGGGATAAAAGCTCTGCCTGCTTAACCGAGTTAGCGAGCCTAACAACTCAGTACAGTTCCTGGCGGTCACATCAATGCATTTCTGAGTTAAGAAGGGGGAATGTTACTCCATTTATTCGGCTGTAGCTCTATTCATCAAAGGAATTTTACTCGCCGCAGAAAACCTTTAGATGCATGCATGCTCTGAATACATATTTGCCATGCCCACATACGAAGCCGGGTTGTGCTGTAGAATGAACTCCTTGCCGCAAGTGTGTGCGCCAGTGGTTCTTTAAATGCAGCATTTGTTTTTCTTTATTTCTAGAGATGTACACTGTGCAAGAGCGCAGAACAGGGAAGAACGAACACACACTGCAAATACTAAAGTCAAGGCTGCATGCCTTGCGATACCGTCAAGGTGAACCACCCTCACACAGTTGAACGGAGCTTCTGACCTAGACCTACAGTAGCCGCGGCATCACTGACAAAAGCACTCCATACAGGCGACGAAGTGACCGTGAAAGTGAAGGATCATTTTCAGAATCACATACAAAAGGTGTTTCCAACCATATTCCAGCCACTTCCGCGGAGCCACTGAATGAGTATAGTGCGACATACAGTGTCATGTACAGATGTGGGAATGTCGTAGGAAACAACGGCACGTACTGAGTCTAATGACTCGAGATTTGAACACATTGGCTGATACAGTTGTATCGACAGTGGGAATTCCCGTTGTGGCAGTACTTCGTCGCACTTTGGTCACGAAAGCTGGATTCATGATTTGCTGCCTGTAGTCGCAATGGGACTTCTACATGAATCAAGGAGTTGCCTAGATCTAAATACGGGTGCACAAACAACCTGAAGAGCTGCTGGCAACAAGTTGAGTAGGTGAGAACCATTTACACATTTTGAAACCTTTTTAGCTGAATATAGTTTCTCCACGTTATTTATTAATTGTTGACTGGTGTGATGTGTTCAAAACGTCATATCCCAAAAGTTACGAAAACAAACAGCAGTAAACACTGAATCATGACAATCGAACGTCAACTCACATGCATGTCGCGTGCTCGAAACAACTGATCGGGATCGTCTGTAAATTCGCTGCGTTTTACGTGTGAAACGCGTTCGTACGCGTATGCATACGTACCGTACGCACAAAGTCATAGCACACTCCCTATTGGATATCACGTACGTGATATCCCACAGCGAGTGTACCGTGAGTTTTTATAAACTGAACACGTGATCGTTCTAGGCCAATGAAAATTCAGTATTCAAGACAGAGGTATGACAATATGTAATGTAGTTGTATGGACAATCAACAACGGGATCAAATTTCTTTCGTAACTGATATGATATGATGTGGTATAATTTGATATGATATGCCATTTGTGCCCATGGTATGACATCTGACCGCAGGGCACTTTTGAGTTAAAATAGAGGCCAGCTAGCAATTCCGTTATTTGAATTGATTATTCCGTATAATTATAAACAGTGATGCGAAATAGTCTGTTTTACGAGTATGTAACCTCGGTTTGGTTCCTAGATTATTCTGCGCAAAAGAGCGAATAGGATCGTCAAGGGACTCGACGTGTCGAGTTACAATATGAAAACAATAACGATTTTTTTTTCTCAGTGGGATGATAGATCAGCGTATTGAAACTAACGGACAATCATTTACTACTTGTGCAGACGTCTTCAACTATACTTGACAAAACGAGCTTGCCAGGCTGGTCGTCTGGCCAGCTCTAATCTGATATACCAGCGGGCGACGTTATAACTCGTACGATTGAAATCATACACGTCACATTAATATATAACATGTCTTAGAGATAGATATCACATACGATTATGAAATGTGGTGTCATTTCGTGAGATGATAGTTATCATGTTTGGCTGTACATCGCATCACGTGATATATCATTATTTTGATACATTTCATATGAGGCCTATTTTCAAGATTATATATCATGATACATTGTATATACATCGCATATGTAATGATATATATCATCATATTTGATAATTATTTACCATGGCATGATGAGGTATCGCGAGGTGTCTCAATTTCTTGCAGATTTTGTTTACTGTGATGTCACTCTGATTAAAACTACTCGTATAGGTTCGCGTAGAACATGTAGATATAGACATACTTGTGGAGTTTCGCAATGAATGTTTCCCAAATGGTCAGTTTATGAAGTCTCAAAAGGACAAGATATTCCTGTGTGATTGAAGCTATTAACATTGAAGACCCAAAAAAAATGATTTGTAAATGTGATACTGCGTTCAACATCGTCATCTGCAGAGAAAGATGGGTTGATGCTGATCACGTACCGGTAGATGCTGATAACGTAGATGGATATTATATATTACCTTAATTGAATTTGTATTCAGAAAAACGAGGTGTAGTTTTTTTTATGCGGTGACTGGCTCGTCATCATCAGGCTCATCATAATCCTATGACACCCACAAAATTCATTATCTCCAATACCGATCGCCTTAATGACCAAAATGTATCCTTGAACAAGCCCCCTACGGAGCGTGTAGCGCGGCAAATTAGCATTCCCAAATGCTCTTGTCATCCAAATTCATTAATGGATGCGGTTGATGGATGGCCGCTTCCATCCAACCTGTGGCGGAGGGACGAAAAAATAATCTTACCCCGGGCAAGCCATGCATTCAAAGAGCCGGCGCATCGAGATGATGATTAACTCTAAAGCTTCATTCTGGCCGTGCCACATGTCAGGAAGTGGGTTGTAGAACGTCTTTGAGGATTGAATTCAAAGTTCAGTGAATTGACGGAAAAAATAATAGATGTTCGAAAACTGCACAATCTGTCATGCTGACCTGGGATTTTTTGGGTCTGATATGAATGATTGACGACATCGATGCGTACGTAGTAGAAATGACAGCCTAGTTTTATTACGGGGTGGAAGTTGGCTTTAGTTGCCCCAGCTACTACTGTTTCATGTTGCTTCTGGCTGCTCGGGTGTAAGTGTTGTAATCGCTGTTTCTTGGTGGTGGTTGTGTTATTGTTACCCCCCAACTATAGCATCGTACCGTCCAAACTACAGTTGGGATGATCCCAACTGCAGGGTGAGTAAAAAAAACCAAAACCCAAATGGGACTATTGTTTTATTGAATTTCTTCATGTAGCACTTTGAAAATCTAGGATATAAAAGCCCAATTCATAAGCTTTCTTTTAGTATAAGAATCATTCAAATCCCTCATGTACTTTTTAAGTTACGGAATTTTAAACACAACCACCGTTTTAAAGTTCTGTCCACGGATCACAAAAAGGTGCGCATCCTGTCAGCAAAACGAAAACAATTCACACATCCGTATGTGATTTGTTTTTGTTTTGCTGAAAGAACACTGAACTTTTATTGTGATCCGTGGACAGAACCTTTCGGTGGTTGTGTTTAAAATTCCGTAACTTGAAAAGTACATGAGTGATCTGAATGATTCTTGTACTACAACAAAGTTTATGAATTGGGCTTTCAAATCCTAGATTTTGAAAGTGCTACATGCAGAACGTCACTAAAACAATAGTCCCGACATTTGGGTTTCAGGTTTTTTTTACTCACCCTGTATAATTGGGGGCATTGCTGTAGGTGGGGCGTAGCAGCATCATAAACTTGTTCTCATGTCGTTGTTACTGTCACAGATGTTGTTTCTACATTTGTAATGGCCAGTGGTCTTCTTAGTGCTTTTATATGTTGCTGCTGCAGCAGCTGTTACTAATAGGCTTTATCCACGAGTCGGACATTAAATTGAAAGCTACAATCCCAGCCAAAATGGTTAGGACACTTGGAAATAACCTTAGCCTCCAACGGTCACCAACTCCCCGCTCCCCCGGTCAATGTTGGTCTCTTCAGCGGATGGAGCACACACCGCGCAATGAGAGACAACATTGAACGGGGGCCGGGGGAGGGTGGGGGCCCAGCGAGATTTGGCCAGGATTGTAGGTAAAATCTTAATTTTGGAACTTGCGAGTGGAAATGAAGGCAATAACATAAATTTAATTACAAGTGAATACCAGTCTGCTCTGATGAATAATTTAAAATTGGTGATTAAACATGCCCCATATTGAGGCTTTGAACCATGCTTGGAACGCATAAATAGTCTGGCACCATCCCATTCAACAGTTTACAATTTGTATACAATACATTCAGGGAACACATCCAAAATGGCTTCATTGTAAATAAGGTGTATTGTTACTACTGTTGCTGTCGCAGTTAACCTATTCTTGGTGGTGTCAAAAGAAATAATGATACGGTGACCAAATGTGTATGTTGCTGTTGCTTTTTGCTGTACGTGTTGCTACCCGTAGCTGCTGTTAAAGCTACTTTCCTTCTTCTTGATGCCTTTAATATCTGTTGAGGTATTTCTGATATTTGGGGGTTTTTTTTAACACATAACCAACTGTACCACGTTGTATCAAATTGTGTTTGCTCACTGACGAATCCATGAAATAATAGACCGTTCGGGAACGTTCAGGCTCTGCCGTGACTAATACACATTCCCGGTTCTTAAGCCGAATCGTCACGAATAGCAATTCTTGAGTAAATCGGGGATGGTTCTTGGCTGCCTCGGGATGATTCTGTTAGTTCAGTGGAAGATCGTGAAAGATCAGGAAGCGCCCCGACAAATTTGAACATGTTAAAAATTGCCGGGGTGATTCAGGAACTAATTTCAATTCTTGGTTTATTCTGCTTGTATTCACAACTGATTCGGGAATATGTGAAGCAAGCATAATAATGTTCACAATTTGAGTCGTTTTTGCCGTTTCTGTTGCTGCGAGGATGATGATGTGGTTTTACTATTTCATAAAACGTTCTATTTTTTTTGCGTTATTTCCAGTAACGAGGTTGCTTCTATGTTACTTTGCTGCTACTGGTACAATTGGCAGTTCTGAAATGCTCCTGTTTAATGCTTCATCATATCCCGGCTCTCCTTTCCCTGTCAGTGGTGTCCCTGGGGATTGCAGTCGGTTATCAGTATCCATTAAACTATTCATGAATTGCTGACATTTTGAGATGTTCTTGATGAGCGAAAGGAATCACGAGGTGTCGGCTCCAGAAGCCCTTTAGTCCTCAAATGGAATTACAGATGGGTCTAAGACAGTTGACGTTGTCATGGCAACCTGTAAGGAAATGCACAACAGTTTCCTGGTATGGGGTATTCAGAGGCTCAAACCCAATTGGGAATTGGCCCATTCGACAAAATCCAGGCCCCCGGGTTGTAATAACTGATAGGATCACGGCCGGGTCTGGGAAATGCGAATGAGCCCCACGAGGGATTCATCAATTTGTCACTAGCTGAAAGCTTTTGGCTCTTGCTAATCTTTTACCTTGGGAATATCAAATGCTCCTTGCCGTAAAGCGTCATTCGAAACCGGACGTGTCGAATGTGACACGAATGTGACCAATGGGGACCAAGTGTCATCTGTGTATCTGACTAACTCACTGACGGACTCGCTCCCCGACTGACTCCCCGACTCCCCGACTGACTCCCCGACTGACTGACTGACTGACTCCCCCACGGATTCACTCCCCGACCCACTCACTCACTCACTCCCCTACTCACTGTCACTCGTGAGCAGTGCTATTGTATATGATTACCCAGTCATGCCTATGAATGGGCTTAATTCGACGTATGGTGCAGACAAGTATTGACTTCCACTGAATAGCCATTCTGAATCGATTCAATATACAATGTTATGCTATCTGGGACCAGTTTTACTGGGCTTGTATTTTCCTGTTGCTCCGATTGAAGATAGACACAAAGTCATGCATGATTATTTTGATGTATTCCATGAGAGGAGGAAATGCTTCAGTTTATGTCGATTTCCTTGGTTTGTTTCCTGCCTTCCCGTCTGAATGATCTGA